AATCCACCGGGAGCAGGACAAAGGGGATAATGCGCCGCGCGACATCCACTAATGCTACAATCAAGGTGCTAAGCGATTGCGCCCCGAGGGAGCCGTCCTCCGCGCCGGGAACTAATTCATTTTATTGCCTTAAATGAATTAACATGATTATAACAAGATATCGAACATATGTTTGTGTTATGTTTACATAATTTGATAGCTATTATACTAATCCGTACCAACCTACTTTCTTTACAAGGCAGGATTGTTGAAGCGTGCTCATGAAGATGTTAAATGTAGTCTTGTGTACCATATGGAAATTATCATTCAAAATCATTTGCAACTTTGACAACATCTCATCAAGTTTCTTTTACTTTTGGCCGTCGACCTTCAGTTTTTTGGTTTTGTGAATTAAAAGTATATTGAAGAGAGAAGTTGTGTGTAGAATTAGGGTGCATCTAAGGAATTGCGCAGACCATGGCGGTGTCGAATGAGGTACTAAGGTGTAGCGGTGGCGGGCCACCCGACGCGTAGTTAGCTCCGGCAAGGCCGCACATTGCACAAAGGCTGTTATTTACCAAGAGTGCATAATTTTATTTCTTAATCTTGGCTCGGGCGGGAGGCTTTGGGGGAGGGGAGGCGTGCGGCCAATCCGCTGCAGGCGCGCGGTAATCGAGTTGCGATCGCGTCTGCTCACAATTTGCGGCAATTTGTAGCACAAAGCCTTCCTGCCGCCCCCGCGCACTCCGCGCACCACGCCGGCTCGCTCTAACAAGTTATTATTCAATTTGGGGTGCGTCCGACACATTCCGATCAGTCAATAGGTTAATGCTTGGTTCGGGCGACAGGCGACAGGCGACAGGTCGGCGGCAATCAGCGGCACAACGCCCCGCCATCCACCGCGACCCCGAACTGTAATTATTGCCGTCTTTTGTATCTTTACACATCTAATTTAGTGATAAGTTGTAACGATTAACACGTTCACAATTATACTTATTAAGAGTGAATGTGGCGTGCTAGATTTATGAGTCATATTGATGTAGGCAGTAGGATAATAACGAATTATAATACTACGCACTATTTACGAGTATTAGAAGTACATTTGTTTCTATATATGAAAATCCAAACATTGAATAGTCATAAAAATGAAACGCATTATTTAGTGATGTGTAACTTTGCGTGGCATTCAGTTTTGAGCGCGGCCGGCGGCTTACATAAAATCGATACGGTCGCGTTTTCATACTTTCATAACTGAATTTTGTCG